ACCATACTTCTCTTCGGATCAAGTAGGACTTTCACTAAGGTTGTAATAGGGCTTAGGGTGATGGGTGAAACAAGAAAGAGATATAGATGAACAAACGAATTCTAAGGGCTAAGTAAGCTTTCCACGAAATTATAACATCTTGCACTTTAGCACACAATTTTATCTTGATACTGTCTTGAAATTTTTATTTTTATTTTTCACATTTTTTTCCTTAACTCCATTAGCTTTCTAATCAACCCATATAACAAGTGTTAGGCCAATAACTCCCAAGCTAGATAGCTTTAGGGTATTAAGTGTAAAACACCCCTCGGGCTTAAAAACTCGAGTTGAAAAGGCTTCAGAATCAGACCTTTTTTTTGTTTTTTGTTTTTAAACAGTATCATATACACACGATTGAGCAATTTGTGCAATTCTCCCTTAACCATGAAAGTGCTCTACAAAGCTTCTTAGAAGAGTGTAGGACAAATATACCAAAGTTTAAGGTGAGGAGAATTGGGTAAAGAACGATAAAGGCTTACATAAAAGGCACAAGGGATTGACTAGGGATAAAATTGATATGGGTTGGCTGGAAAGGCTCAAATGAACGTAACAAGGCCTATATCACTTCCTAGGATCCATGTGGTTCATGAAATATGCCTAAAATAGATAATGAAAGTAGTTATAGCAAACAATTTAAACATCCTCAAGTATTTGACCAAAACAAAGAATAATGAGATCACAACGACTTGTAGACGAGAAAATTATAGAATAGTATATAACACTCAAGAAAGAGAGGTATAGGCTCAAAAGCTCACATAATAAGGGTTATATAAGTCTACACTAGCCTTATTTGGGAATTTAAATCATGTGAACTCCAATCGAAAATCATATTAATATGGCTATGTGCAAAAAGATTTACCAAGTTTAATCACAAAATTAAGGCTAACACAAAGATAATGTAAAGAATTAATGTCATGCTCACAACTCCTTGCAAGTTAATTGTCAATAAAATTCAATCTCATCATAGAATTGGGAAGTGACTACTACAAACAAATAAAAACTGAACTCAAAATTAAAGAAAATATTTATGGGTTTTTATGACATTTTTCTGATTTTTTTTTATTTATATTTTAAGGAAAAACGAAATTAGAACAAGGCAACAAAGTAAAGACAAAATAAAAATATAAAAAAACAAAAATTGGAAAAGAATTGAGAACCAATCAACAAGACAATAAACTAATTATACACATGAAAAGTGAAGCGGCGGCATAGACTATAACACTCAATCACCCACAACTTTTAAAAAACATTGTCCCCAATGTGTAAAATAAAGAAATAAATTCATGGACAATCAATTAAAGAGGGAGAGGGTTTGAGGACTTCCCGGGTTTTCTAGGTGTACGGAGGGCAAGAATTTGTCAAAGAGAGAGGAGATAAACAAGGCAACGAACTCAAGCACCCACAACTTGTCTTTGAATGCCAACGGACCCGTAATAGCTTCTAAATGTAACGACCTGGCCCTAAACTAATAATTAAATTCTAAATTATTAAAGAAAAGGACAATGTTACCCCGGAATATTTTAATAAGTTTATATGTTGCCTTGTTGACCGGGGAGACATTGGTGAAAATGTTACATCCTGGTCCGAAAAAGTGTTAAAATAATTAAAGTAGGAGAGAATAAATTTAAATGACGAAATAAAGTGAAATCAACATTAAAGTAAAATGATTTGAATTAATTAAGGTTTTTGAGAAATTAAAACATTATTTAATATTAAAAGGGGCAAAAAGGTCATTTTAAGTTTGGGAAGGAATTTTGAAATTCCAATTATACCGATGTGTAGAGCACATCGAAAGGAGTCTGTAGATACATAGTGAACTCGAATTGGAGTTGTAACAAAGAAATGGCGATCAAAAGAACTTCAGTGGCATAATCGTAAATATTTCGAAGTTCAGTTTTTAAAAACCCAGATTTCTTCTCTGTTGGAGCTGGACCAGCCGACTTCAAGAGGTGATTTCTCTCAACTCCGACCACCAATTCAGGCAAGACCGATCCTGTTAGAACCACCACACTTCCCTCTTCCAGCCCCAGCCCTTAGTCGCCTCGATCCGCCGCCGTAGTAGCTGGAATCAGCCACGAAACAGGCGGTCTTGGACAGATTTTTCTTAAACTTTCGCCGGCCGTTTCTCCTTCCTCCGGGCACCAAACCGGTCGAATAAGGTATGATTTCCCACCTATTTTTCGAGCTCTAGCTGATAGTTGGGTAGGATTTGATCAATGTATAGCCTAGGACGTTAACCCTAAGGTTAGGTTTACAGTAACCATCCGATCGTGTGATCGTGAGCAATCCGACCATCCGATAGAGACTGAACTCTTGGGACATATGTCCTAGGCTTATTGGGACCTTTAGGGACTCCTAGATTTGTGATAGGCAGTAGTGGACCCAACGCGGGTCCCGTTGACCTAGTTTGGGGAGACTGACCACTTTGTGGATTGAGAGTCTTCTGAGGTAGTTTATCCTTCGAGAAGTATTAGAACGATCTTATACTTGAGGATTGACTGTTATGCTAAGTGTTTTGTTTATGTTTGGGTTATGAGTTTATGTTATAGCGTTTTATGTTGGTATTGGATATTATTCTGGTATTGGAAGGTTATGAATTATTGGAAGTTATTTATTTATTGTGTTCAGATGTGAAGAGTATGAGTATGTTATTATCTGTTTATATATCACCTGCTTATATATTCATGTGGTTAATTGTGTTGTAAGATTATAAATATAATATTGGAATGATATGCTAATTAGAGATCAATATGGTTAACAAACTAGCTAAGTATTTGATATATATATTTAGTGGTTGAAAAGGAAGAATCATTGCTTTTGGTTTTTATCAGATTTTGGTATATATATATATATATATAGATATATATTTTAAGTTTAGTTGAGAACCAATTTATTGAAAGTATATATAAATGACGGGTTATGGTTTTCAAACCCACCGCGAGGGTAACCCCCCAATTGCCTCGAGACAGTTTGTTGTTTATGATAATGCCCCACGAGTTTGGGGGACGCCTAAACCGTGTGGTGTGAGGATTGCGGTTCAGGCTGACTAATGGTCCCCTAAGGCCTGCGAGGAATGCGGCTTGGATGGACTTGGTTTCTCCGGGACCTGTGAGGATTGCGGCTCAGATTGAAGTGTTATCTCTGAGACCTGCGAGGAATACAGCTCGGTTAACTTTGTGTTTCTAAGACCTGCGAGGATGGAATTGACGGATTATTATTGGAATGGACGGTATAAAAGGAATTGACGGATCAGAAACGAGGGTACGTCTGGGTGGAGAGAATTTAAGTTCTGAGATGCTTTTAAACTAATTGAGTATTTTATACAATAACCATTGTTTTCTTAAGCGTCACATTTGTTTTACAAGCGATAGATGGAAATATATATAGATTCTAAACAAGTTATTTATATATATAAATATATATACATTTATTTATGAACTTTACATGAGTTCGATACAAGGGTGTTCGGAGCTTATAAATCTTTAACTTATTTATTTTATTTTATGTTATTATGTTTATTTATCTTTATCTTGCATTATTTTATATAGTATTAAATAGCTTAAGTTTTTCTAATATATTTTGCCCCATAAGTCTTAAAGATATTCGGACCATGGGAGCGAGGATTGCGGATCAGGTTGACTAGATGTCTCCTGAGTCTAGGGAGAATCACAGGGCAGCACGTGTCACCAATGGTGTCACGAGGAAATGGATAGTTATGGCTTTCACAGCGTGATTACTTGAACCTAAATGCTTTTATTCATTCATTTAATTATATATTGCCAAGCGAGTAATGCCAGGAAGCTTGAAGTAGGAAGCTGAGATGAAATAGAAAGAACTACGTGTGGCTTGATCCCTAGTTGAGAGTACGTAGGCAGCCTAGAATTTCTAGGCGTAGCCACGAGGCAAAAAGATTGAGAAATGGTTTAGCTAAATTATTTTTGAATATGTTATTGTGTTCATGATGTTGTAAAAGTTAGAATCAGTTCCAGTTGATAGAATGATTTACTTGAATTACTTGTGTTTATGATGCTTGATTTACTTGGGTATACTTTAATACATGCTGAATGTTTGGGATATATAAATGTTTGTTAATAGGTGGAATTTTGGGAAATGTTCAATTTACAGGGGAGACTCTGCCAAATTTTCGGCAGAAGCCAAACTTGAAATAAATTGAATTTTGAATAAAAGGGCAATTAGGTCTTTTGTGCCCAGCACCCGCCAGATGTCAGACACGCATAGGGTTCGGCTCGGATTCCAAAGTGGAATTTGGGTCGAGTCCTATCACTAAAAGTCTCGGAATGCAATGAAATTGGAACGATATTGATCTGGATATGTAAGCATAAAAATCTGGAAATCCGACTTTTAGCGACGAAAAATCTGATGAACACCGCAACAAAAACCTCTCTGGTGACGAAAAATTTGATGAACACGGTCGCTAAAACCTCTTTGGTGACAAAAAAAAATTCAAATTATGGGCAAAACAGCAACTGCCTTTTCTGAGCTTCAAATCGTCCTAAAACATAATGCAGGCCACCGGAGACCCCCAAACCTGTTCCAAATTATCAGAATAACCATTCTAAACATGTTGGTGGCATCAGATTGACGTGAAAAACAGCAAAAAAGAAATTAGGCAAAAATTCTAGTTTTGGCCAAAATAAGAACATAAAAGCTATTTTTCTGTTTTCCAGTATCAAAACTCAACCAATGACCAGAAAAACTTCTGTAACACATTCCAAACATGCTGCAAACACCCTAGGGCTATAAAAATGTGAAAATTTTTCTTTGGAACACAAAATCCATTGTTTGATGATGCAAAACTGAACAAAAACAAAAATATGAAAATTTACGGGAAATCACACGTAAACTAAAGCAAAAGCGAAAACAAAAGTTAAGAATGGTTGGGTTGCCTCCCAAGAAGCGCTAAGTTTAAAGTCTTCAGCCAGACACGGTTCTTTAGATTATTAAACAATAGATGGGGGTGGTGCATCCACGTGCATGCTCCCTTTTCCAAGCTCAAACGATTCATAGTATGGCTTCAAGTGATGTTTGTTCTCTTTGAATATGTTTCCCGTCTTGTCATTTTGAATCTCAACTGCACCATGAGGGAAAACATTAGTAACAACAAAAGGACCATACCATCTAAAACGTAACTTACCTGAGAATAGCCAGAGGCCTGAATTGAAGAGCAAGACTTTCTGCCCTATTTCAAAGGTCTTCCTTTGAATGGCTTTGTCATGAAATTCCTTCGTCTTTTCCTTGTAAATCCGTGCACTCTCATAAGCATCAATCCTCATCTCATCCAATTCATTCAATTGGAGTCGCCTTGCATTTCCAGCCTCTTTCATATTGAAATTGAATTTCTTGATTGCCCAAAATGCTCGATGTTCAAGTTCAACCGGAAGGTGACATGCTTTGTCATAAACCAATATGATCCGGACAATATTTCCATAAGTATGGATCTTCCCAAACATTGACATGCTTATCCTTTTGAGTGCGAGTGAGATCCTCTGGAATCAGTTTTGAAGCCTTATAATTGATAATGTCAGCGTACCAAGGGTCCTCGGCTTCGAGGGTGAAGAGTTGCTCATCGGGGAAACTTTCACGTAGAGGAAGCACGTCCTCTTCTTCATTGGATCCTTGCACCAGCCTACTCAAATGGTCAGCCACCATGTTTTCACTCCCTTTCTTGTCTCTAATTACCAAATTGAATTCTTGAAGCAAGAGGGTCCACCTAATCAGTCGTGGCTTGGGGTCCTTCTTTTGGAGGAGGTACCTAAGCACTGCATGATTAGAGAATACAATTACTTTAGTGCCAATAAGATATGATCTAAATTTCTCAAAAGCAAAAATAACAGCAAGCAACTCCTTTTCCATAGTTGAGTACGTTGTTCACTCTTTGTCCAAGCACAGCCCCCACTGCATAATCCAAGGCGTCACACATCAACTCAAAGGGAAAATTCCAATCTGGAGGCTACATAATAAGGGTAGACGTTAAAAGCTCCTTAAGCTTGTTAAATGCAGCCAAGCACTCTTTATTAAACTTGAATTCCACATCTTTGCCAAGCAACTGACATAGGGGCCTTGATATCTTTGAAAAGTCCTCGATGAAACGCCTATAGAACCTTGCATGTCCTAGGAATGACCTAATCTCCTTCACAGTTTTGGGGGGGCTGCAAGCTTCTCACAATGTCGATTTTTGCCTTGTCCACTTAATTCCCCTACAAGAGATAATGTGACCTAATACAATACCCTGTTGTACCATGAAGTGGCACTTCTCCCAGTTGAGCACTAAATTGCATTCCTGATACCTTTTCAACACTAAAGAGAGGTTGTGAAGACAAATATCAAATGAATCACTAAAAATGGAAAAATCATCCACAAATACCTCTATTATCTCCTCCACCATATCAGAAAAAATTGACATCATGCAATGTTGTAGAGTGGCAGGTGCGTTACATAAACCAACAGGCATATGCCTATAAGAAAATGTACCAAATGGACAGGTGAAGGTGGTCTTTTCTTGATCTTTCGGAGCTATGACAATTTGATTGTATCCAGAGTATCCATCCAAGAAGCAATAATAACTATGACCTGCAAGATGCTCAAGTATTTGATCAATATATGGTAACGCAAAGTGATCCTTACGTGTCGTGGTATTGAGCTTTCTATCTATGCATACTCTCCAACCCGTTTGAATTCTTTGAGGCACCAACTTATTGCCTTCATTCTTCACAACAGTAATTCCGGATTTCTTGGGAACAACTTGGACGGGACTCACCCACTTGCTATCCAAAATGGGGTATATAATTCTCACATCCAAAAGCTTCAAAACTTCCTTCTTATGACTTCTTTCATCACCGGGTTTAGCCTCCTTTGGGCTTCCCTTGTAGGTTTCGATTCCTCTTCCAAAAGGATCCTATGCATGCACTTTGTAGGGGCTTATTCCTCTGATGTTTGCAATGGTCCAACCAGGGGCAGTCTTGTGCACCCTTAGAACTCAAACTAATTTTTCTTCTTCGGATGCACTCAAATTATAAACACTGATCACAGGCAGCGTCTTTTCATCACCTAAATGACTCCTCCCACCATATTATGATGTTCCCCAAGTTTTGGGCTCAATCCGATATCGATTGGTCCAAGAAATTGGACAATTCAGGTTTGCACGAAGTTCATACTGTAAATGGAGCTGTTGGTGTATTGCATAGTTTTAGCAACTGGATTTCACCCATAACTCACCAAATGGCTCTTCCCACCATATTATGTTGTTCCCCAAGTTTTGGGTTCAATCTGATATCGATTGTTCCAAGAAATTGGACAATTCAAGTTCGTACTGTAAATGGAGTGGTTTGGTGTTTTGCATTGTTTTAGCGATTGGATTTTACTCAAAACTCCCCAAATGACTCCTCCCACCGTACTATGATGTTGCCCAAGTTTTGGGCTCGATCCGATATCGATTGGTCCAATAAATTGGACAACTCAGGTTCATACGAAGTTCGTTTTGCAATGGAGTGGTTGGTGTATTGCATAGTTTTAGCAATTGGATTTCACCCATAACTCACCAAATGACTTATCCCACCATATTATGATGTTGCCCAAGTTTTGGGCTCAATACGATATCGATTAGTCTAAGAAATTTGACAATTCAGGTACGTACGATTTTTCGTTCGGTAATTGATTGGTTGGCGTATTGGATAGTTTTAGCGATTAGATTTCACTTAAAACTCACAAAATGACTCCTCCCACGATATTACGATGTTCCCTAAGTTTTGGGTTCAATCCGATATCGATTGTTCCAAGAAATTAGACAATTCAGGTTCATACGAAGTTCATACAATAAATGGAGCGGTTGTTGTCTTGCATAGTTTTAGCGATTGGATTTCACTCAAAACCACCAAATGACTTCTCCCACCATATTATGATGTTCCCCAAGTTTTGGGCTCAATCCGATATCGATCGGTCCACGAAATTGGACAATTCAGGTTCGTACAAAGTTCGTTCTGTAATGGAGTGGTTGGTATATTGGATAGTTTTAGCAATCAGGTTTTGCTCAAAACTCACCAAATGTCTCCTCCCACCATGTTATGACGTTGCCCAAGTTTTGGGTCAATCCGATATCGATTGGCCCAAAAAATTGGCCTATTCACTTTCGTACGATTTTCGTTGTGTAATGGAGTGGTTGGTGTATTGCATAGTTTTAGCATTGGATTTCACTCAAAACTCACCAAACGTCTCTTCCCACCATATTATGATGTTCCCTAAGTTTTGGGGTCAATCCGATATCGATTGGTCCAAGAAATTGGACAATTCAGGTTCGTACGATTTTTGTTGTATAATTGTGTGGTTGGTGTATTGCACAGTTTTAGCAATTGGATTTCACTCAAAAATCACCAAATTACTCTTCCCACCATATTATGATGTTCCCAAAGTTTTGGGCTCAATCCGATATAGATTGGTCCGAGAAATTGGACAATTCAGTTTCATACGATTTTCGTACGATAATGGAGTAGTTGGTGTATTGCAAAGTTTTAGGTATTGGATTTCTCTCAAAACTCACCTAAAGTCTCCTCCCACCATGTTATGACATTGCCCCAAGTTATGGGTCGATCCAACATCGATTGGTCCAAAAAATTGGACAATTTAGGTTCGTACGATTTTTGTTATGTAATCAAGTGGTTGGCATATTGCATAGTTTTAGCAATTGGATTTCACTCAAAACTCACCAAATGTCTACTCCAACCATATTGTGATGTTCCCCAAGTTTTGGGCTCAATCTGATATCGATTGGTCCAAGAAATTGGACAATTCAGGTTCGTACGAAGTTCGATTTGTAAATAGAGTGGTTGGTGCATTGCATAGTTTTAGCAATTGGATTTCAGCCAAACCTCACCAAATGATTCCTCCCACTATACTATGACGTTGCCCAAGTTTTGGGCTCAATCCGATATCTATTGGTCCAAGAAATTGGACAATTCAAGATCGTACGATTTTCATTCTGTAATGGAGTGGTTGGTGTATTATATAGGTTTAGCCTCTGGATTTCACTGAATACAAACCAAGTGACTCCTCCCACCATATTATGATGTTGCCTATGTTTTGGGCTCAATCCGATATCGATTGGTCCAAGAATTGGACAATTCTGGTTTGTACGAAGTTCATTCTAAAATGGGGTGGTTGGTGTATTGTATTGTTTTTATGATTGGATTTCACTCAAAGCTCACCAAATGACTCCTCCCACCATATTATGATGTTGCCCAAGTTTTTAGCTCAATCCGTTATGGATTGGTCCAAGAAATTGGTCAATTCAGGTTCGTTCAAGGTCGTAATGTAAATGGAGTGGTTGGTGTATTGCATAGTTTAGAGATTGGATTTCACTCAAAACCAACCAAATGACTCCTCCCACCATATTATGTCGTTCCCAAGTTTTGGACTCAATCCGATATCGATTGGTCCAACAAAATCGGACTATTCAGGTTCGTACAAAGTTCGTTCTAAATGTAGTGGAGTGGTTGTTGTATTGCATAATTTTAGAGATTGGATTTCACTCAAAACCAACAAAATGACTCCTCCCACCATATTATGTTGTTCCCCAAGTTTTGGACTCAATCCGATTTTGATTGGTCCAACAAATCGGACAATTTAGGTTCGTAGCAAGTTCGTTCTGAAATGGAGTGGTTGGGGTATTGCATAGTTTTAGCCAGTGATTTCACTCAAACCACACAAAATGACTCCTCCCACCATATTATGTTGTTGCCCAAGTTTTGGACTCAATCCGATATCGATTGGTCTACGAAATTGGACAATTCAGGTTCGTAGAAGTTCGTTCTGAAATGGAGTAGGTTGGTGTATTTCATAGTTTTAGCATTGGATTTCACTCAAAACACACCAAATGACTCCTCCCACATATTATGATGTTCTTCCCAAGTTTTTGGACTCAATCCGATATCGATTGGTCCAAGAAATTGGACAATTCAGGTTCGTACGATTTTCGTTCCTTAAATGGAGTGGTTGGTGTATTGCATAGTTTTAACCATGGATTTCACTCAAAACCACCAAATGACTCCTCCCACTATATTTTGATGTTCCCCAAGTTTTGGGCTCAATCCGATATCGATTGGTCCAAAAAAATGGACAATTCAGGTTCGTACGAAGTTCGTTAAGAAATGGAGTGGTTGGTGTATTGCATAGTTTTAGACCCATTGGATTTCACTCAAAACACAAATGACTCCTCCCATCATGTTACCACATTGCCTCAAGTTTTAAGCTCAATCCGATATCGATTGGTCGAAGAAATTGGACAATTCAGGTAATGGAGTGGTTGGTGTATTGCATAGTTTAAGCAGTTGGATTCCACTCAAAACTCACCAAATGACTCCTCCCACCATACTATGATGTTCCCCAAGTTTTGGACTCAATCCAATGTTGATTGGTCCAAGAAATTGGACAATTCAGGTTTGTACGAAGTTCGTTCCGTAAATGGACAGGTTGGTGTATTGCATAGTTTTGATATTGGATTTCACTCAAAACTCACCAAACCACTTCTCCCACCATATTATGACATCGCCCATGTTTTGGGCTCAATCCGATATCGATTGGTCCAACAAAATGGAGAATTCAGGTTCGTACAAAGTTCGCTCTGTAATGGTGGTGGTTGGTGGATTGCATAGTTTTAGAGATTGGATTTCGCGCAAAATTATTATATGGCGTTGATGCCCCATTGTTTTGAAGCCCAATTCGGTATCGATTGGTCCAAGAAATTGAACCATTCAAGTTCATTCGAAGTTCGTTCTGAAATGGAGTGGTTGGTGTATTGCATAGTTTTAGCATTGGATTTCACTCAAACCACACCAAATGACTCCTCCCACCATATTATAATGTTCCCCAAGTTTTGGACTCAATCCGATATCGATTGGTCCAAGAAATTGGACAATTCAGGTTCGTACGAATTTTCATTCCTTAATGGAGTGGTTGGTATTGCATAGTTTTAGCCATTGGATTTCACTCAAAACACACCAAATGATTCCTCCCACCATATTATAATGTTCCCCAAGTTTTGGGCTCAATCCGATATCGATTGGTCCAACAAATTGGACAATTCAGGTTCGTACGAAGTTCGTTCTGAAATGGAGTGGTTGGTGTATTGCATAGTTTTAGAGATTGGATTTCACACAAAACACACCAAATGACTCCTCCCACCATATTATGTTGTTCCCCAAGTTTTGGACTCAATCCGATATCGATTGGTCCAAGAAATTGGACAATTTAGGTTCGTGCGAAGTTCGTTCTGAAATGGAGTGGTTGGTGTATTGCATAGTTTTAGCCATTGGATTTCACTCAAAACCACCAAATGACTCCTCCCACCATATTATGTTGTTCTCCAAGTTTGGGGCTCAATCCGATATCGATTGGTCCAAGAAATTGGACTATTCAGGTTCGTAGGAAGTTCGTTCTGAAATGGAGTGGTTGGTGTGTTGCATAGTTTTAGCCATTGGATTTCACTCAAAAAACCACCAAATGACTCCTCCCACCATATTATGTTGTTCCCCAAGTTTTGGGCTCAATCCGATATCGATTGGGCCAAGAAATTGGACTATTCAGGTTCGTACGAAGTTCGTTTTGAAATGGAGTGGTTGGTTTATTGCATAGTTTTGGCATTTGGATTTCACTCCAAACCACCAAATAACTCCTCCCACCATATTATGTTGTTCCCAAGTTTTGGATCAATCCGATATCGATTGGTCCAAGAAATGGACTATTCAGGTTCGTACAGAGTTCGTTCTGAAATGGAGTTGTTGGTGTATTGCATAGTTTTAGCCATTGGATTTCACTCAAACCAGACCAAATGACTCCTCCCACCATATTAGGATGTTGCCCAAGTTTTGGGTAAATCCGATATCGATTGGTCCATAAATGGACAATTCAGGTTCGTACGAAGTTTGTTATGAAATGGAGTGGTTGGTGTATTGCATAGTTTTAGAGATTGGATTTCACTCAAAGCTTACGAAATGACTCCTCCCACCTTATTTTGACGTTGCTTAAGTTTTAGGTTAATCCAATATCGATTGGTCCAAGAAATTGGACAATTCAGGTTCCAGCGAAGTTCGTTCTGTAGTGGAGTAGTTGGTGTGTTCCATAGTTTTAGCTATTGGATTTCACTCAAAACTCAGCAAATGACCCATCCCGCCATATTGTGATGTTATCCAAGTTTTAGGCTCAATCCGATATCAATTGGTCCAAGAAATTGGACAATTCAAGTTCGTACGAATTTCATTATGTAATGGAGTGGTTGGTGTATTGCGTAGTTTTAGCGATTGGATTTCACTAGAAAAAAACTCACCAAATGACTCCTCCCACTGTATTCCGATGTTCCCCAACTTTTTGGGCTCAATCCGATGTCGATTGGTCCGAGAAATTGGACAATTTAGGTTCGTACGAAGTTCGTTCTGTAATGGAGTGGTTGGTGTATTGTATAGTTTTAGGAATTGGATTTCAGTAGAAAAAAACTCACCAAATGACCCCTCCTACCAAATTATGATGTTGCCCAAGTTTTGGGCTCAATCCGATATCGATTGGTCCAACAAAATGGACAATTCAGGTTCGTACGAAGTTCGTTATGTGATGGAGTGGTTGGTGTATTGCATAGTTTTAGAGATTGGATTTCGCTCAAAGCTCACAAATTGACTCCGCCCACCATATTATGATGTTGCCCAAGTTTTGAGCTCAATCCGATATCGATTGGTCCAAGAAATTGGACAATTCAAGTTCGTATGAAGTTCGTTCTGAAATGGAGTGGTTGGTGTATTGCATAGTTTTGGCAATTGGATTTCACTCAAAACACACCAAATGACTCCTCCCACCATATTATGATTTTCCCCAAGTTTTGGGCTCAATCCGATATCGATTGGTCCCAGAAATTGAACAATTCAGGTTCGTACGAAGTTCGTCTGAAATGGAGTGGTTGGTGTATTGCATAGTTTTAGAGATTGGATTTCACTCAAAACACACCAAATGACTCCTCCCACCATATTATGATGTTCCCCAAGTTTTGGGCTCAATCCGATATCGATTGGTCCAAGAAATTGGACAATTCAGGTTCGTACGAAGTTCGTTCTGAAATGGAGTGGTTGGTGTTGCATGGTTTATCCATTGGATTTCACTCAAAACACACCAAATGACTAGTATGCCAAGAAAGGGCTTTAGCAACGGATAAAATCCATTGCCTATTACAGATAAATACCGTGGTATTCAAGCTTGTTGCCGATTCCTATGTAATAGGCAACGATATTCTCCATCGCTGTTTGTCCCTTACTACATTGGATTTTTGTTAAACTCCGATGCCTAAATGATTTTCGACTGCGAAAAAAAAGGTTGACTTATGACGCCTAAACCTGAAACAGCATCAGTAGCTTCAAAATGGAGGAGGTTAAAGAGGTCTAACATCATTAGTAGTTTTAAAAGGGATGAGGCTAAAGAGGTCTAACAACATCAGTGATATCTATTATGTTGATGCATATTATCAATTACAACATCGTAGAAACAAATAATGGTGTTGTGAATTATGTTATACATCATAGCTTTTTTTATTTTGTGGACGTGAAAAGCCTCCAATATTGTTGGTGGTTACATAAATGTTGAAGCTACTTCTCGTTTTAGGCATTAGTGATAATAGATGTCTGGTTGTTGTTTTTATCTTTCAACTTCAATTATTTCTGGAAAACTGAAGTTGTTATAAACAATAGGCATCATTTATGTAAGGAAAGGTTAGGTATTTTGCTTGTTTCACATCACACTTTACTTAGTTACTGTAATAGTATTTAAGAAAGGCCTCAATTCCAAATCATGTTGTGTTGCCACTGCTCATAAAAAAAAACATTATATAAACAGTAATTTAAATATATCCATACATACTTGTCACATCCAAATCACAAATTTACCAACCCTACACCATAAATTATCCATACTTGTCTATGCATGAGCAAAATACTAGCTAGAAAGACATGTAAAATGAAGGAATGTTTAGCTTAATCAAAAAGCCATTCTAGGACATGACTTGCCAATTCTTCTCGCACCTCATCCAATTCCATTTGGGTGTACGTGTCCTTCCTTCTAGCTCCATAATGGAAAAAAAAACATAAGATATGCAAATTTACGAAATCATATTGGTGAACAAGAAAATCTAATTAGATAACAAGAAGTCATTAATTGGATCCCACTTCATGTTTAAACTAGCAATTAAATGATCATGTGATGGGGTAGAGAGTTGGACAAGCACAACTAGCATTTTTTCTCAATTGACACAGACCTAACTACTAAAAAAACAGAGGCACGTTGCTGTGAAAAAAAATTACACAAGGTTCATATTAACACAGACCCAACTACCAAAAAAACAGAAGTTGCAAATTTCCATAAGTATCTTATTTCGAAATTCAAGGGAGGAATCTTTACAAATGTCCTTCATGTATCGCATCACAAATACCCACATGACTTGCCATCGCTTTGTTTAGGAGCACCTACATTTTTACACAACAATTCAGCATTTAGTTAGTTAGGTTCCTTAAAATTAATCTTACAATGTTTGTGAAATACAAGCATACTGAAAGCAGAATCCCGGTAATTTATGAGGTCGTCTCCCAATTTGCGCATTGAAAGCTTTGATCCCACTTTAACAGATAAATAACACTTGTTATAGACCATAAGCCAATGCAAAAAATTTACATATTAAGGAAATAACTAAGAGAGACGGACTTACTCATTTACAACAGTTTTCCATGCATCATGAGGGTGACGAAGCCCCAAGAGGATCCATGACATTACACATTATCTTTGTCCTCATCAATTATTGTTAGGAATTCCAATGTTAATTTCACTAATATTAATTCAAAACATATTAGTAATAAAAAATTAAAAAAAAAAAAAAAAAAAAAAAAAAAATACTTACTTACCCAGGATTATATGGAATCAAAAAGATGCTGTCAATGCTCATTTGTTTCAAACATTTCGTAATGTAATCCGACCTCAAATTCCCGTCTCTTGGATCATGTGTGGTACGTGTTCGGTCCATAAATCCAATCACTTGATCCCTTTGTTGGCTTTTTACCAAGCGAAACAAATAGCTGCCAACCATTTTCCATAGTTACTAACTAAATGAGACCCGCGATTAATAGCCAATATGAGAAACAGAAAATTATAAAACATCAAGTTACTATTACCTAATATAAGAAGTTATTATAGCTTATCCTATTTCTCTCATTTCAGCGAACGCGATAACTTGTTCTTGAAAGATGTACACAATCTTTTTCACACCAAATATGTCCTCTCAATATTTGTGGAGATAGTCTGACCTTTGGACATCACTTGATGTGCGTATGCATATAAAACCTTGCAAGACTTTGGCATTGTTGGTGATATAGACTTGAATAAAGTCTTTGCTAATTTTTCCTTTGTAGTTTCCCTCTTCTTCTACAATTATGCATAAAGCAAAAGGTTATATATATAAATATATACAATACATACATATTAGTTAGAATAAAACATAACAGGCTTAAAAGAAAAGAAGTTTACCGCTTTATCACTAAGACAATAAGATCTTGAGGCCAAGCTACTTGCGATCCAATGGCATCCCCAACTGTTTCTAACACTCTTTTCACAGGGATTGGTAGTGGAGAATCTCCCTTTAGTGCACAATTCACAGCTACTCTTATGTTCCCCTCTCCCAAAGGAACATTATGAACCAGCTGGTTTGGCACATCAATCTCAACTATTGTGCCACTTGCAACAAGGTTTGCCTTTTCTCCGAAAGCCATTTTGCATTCCTTCCCCTAATATGCATATAAAAGACAAGTCACAAATATAATACAAGCTAAACATATCAATTTCTGCAAGCATTTATATCAATTAAGTAGAAGATGGAGTCAAAGAAAGAGATCGTAGAGGCCTAGGAAGCTTCACAATTAATATTCCCGAGCTTGGCTTACAAATTAATTAAGTAAGAGATTGTGGGTGGTCTATTTAATTGTAGAATCTAATGTCATTGCCTTATTGGGTAAATGAGAATGAAGAATATAAACCTTTTTATAATTAGTCAAACACTCAGTGTCAACAAGCAATTCATAACATTAAGATCACGAACAAACAAATAAATGAAAAAGGAGAGCAATGATGAATCATTACACCAATCTGCACAAACTAACAACCTTTATTTCCAGTGAATTTGTGAAAAAGTTCAGATATTATGGCCATGAAATTCATATAAATCTTATTCTAATCAGTAATTTGTGTGTGAATATTTAGAGCAAGTATATCAAAGTAAATGAAATATCAGCATTACCTTCATAACTCAGTTTCAGTTTGCTCCACCACATCTCACAAACCTTCTTCACCACAAATTTCTTTTTCACCCTCCTCAAGTTTTCTCTTTATGTTTGTTGATGCTTTCTTGGATAAGATGGGAGATGGATGTATATTTGGGGATTGGAGAGATGTGTTATTACGAACTTGAGTGTTAATCACCACCTTAGCATCTCGATTTGGTTTGAAGAGCTTGTTGCGCAGCTTCATGCCTTTTTGTTGCTCTGCCATCATCTTTCTTGTCTCCATTATCAAAGAATCTTGTTGTTCCAACATTACCTTCGAGACACACTCATCTTCTTCCTAGGAACTTTGAAATATGCATTGGCTTCACATTGCCTCCCACACCCTCACCCTTCCAGCATGTTCAAGGATCCCTAAAGCCATTGACAAAACATCATTACTCCCAGATCTGGGTTAAAGTGCCTTCTTCTTTCTCCTTCATCAAGTTATCCTGAAACCATTATCAACAAAAAGAAGGTGATCACAATCAACATCATAGACATGTTTCTGTAATTTTATTGTCAACAAAAGATACCATAAATTAACCAATTAATTAGTACTTACAATCTTTTCAGCCATTAAAGCTACCTCCTCATCAACTATCTTCCCATTTTATCTTTACGTGCATACTTCCATAAAAGAGCTCTATCAATTTCCTCACCCTTCTCCACTGCATTCTTCTCATACTAATTAAGATTGATCAAATTTAGCATAGGGCAATACACAAATAAGAGTCCAAAAAACAGTTTCTTCTCTTACACTTACCAAGTCTTCGACCACTCCAAGATACCTGTTACGGCCTGTTTTGTGATGATATTTACATTTACTTTGCCTTTCCTTTGGGCTTCATGGATTTCCTACATTATAAGTATAAGACCAGAAGTTTATATGTCATATTTATCCAAAAAATCATTGTTTTTGTTAAGTCCATAAATATACTCATTTATGTACTCTTTTTACTTAGGTTTTGTAGGAGAATTAGATTTAAAAAGGGCTTATTACTTTACTTTTCTGATTTTCAGCTTTTCTGCGCTCTTAGAAGGTTTTTAAGGAAAAATCAACTTTTTGGAGGAATTTTAGTGCAAGGCCAATTGGAGATGAAAGCTAACATCTTGAAGTTCAATCTGTGATTTTTCTAGAATTTTCTACCAAGCCAATTGGTACAGTATTACAAGTAAAGTTAGCCCACGTGCAGACAAGACAGTTTCGTACATGTTACGTGAATGTGAAGAACGGAAGCCTTCCCGAATTTTCCAAGTTACGTGCTATATATGGTTGGAAAGATAAGACATTTATCTTTCTAAAATATATTTTAATGATTTTTCTACAAGGCCGAAGATCCCCAAATCGTGTGACAATTGGGCTGAGCTGTATTTCCCTGTGGAGTTAGGAATTGTGATTTTTACTTTCCTATTTGGATTCCTTGTTTACCAAGACTTCTTGGAGACTCTCAGTCAATTTTAGGGTTTATAACTTTGATATAAGTGATATAAAAGGCCAGCCAAGGCCCCGATACAGAGGATTCACGTCCAAAAGGGATCAACCGCGTAAGAGGAGAAAGCTGCCAACGAGTTCTTTCTTTTCCTTTCTTCTTTTAAGTTTCAGTTCTTATGTATTTATTTTTGAGTTCATCCAAGAGCATGAGTAACTAATTTCTTGTTAGTTAGGGCTTAATCTTGAAGCCCTAAACATGATTTCAATTCTATAAACAAGTTTGAATGGATTTTCAGTTTCTACAAGCGTGATGATTTCGGTTTCTCTATGTTATGTGAATTCTGATATTTTGTTTCTTTGAGTAGCTAACTTTGAAGCATGTATTGGAATTAAATTGTTGTAGAACATAGGTCAATTGCCATATTGAATGTGTTCTTGTTTGCAACGAATAATGGGGTTAAGAACTAGTTATGAGAAATCGATTCTTGAATTCCTAATAACAAATGCCATGTTTTAGGGTTTTTGTGACACTCATATTCCCTTTGATCTTAATGGATTCTTGATTGTTAATTTGAGTAAATGCCATACTAGATTTCAATTAAGAATACACGTATTGATGTAAATGCCATACACTTTACATGCACTTAAGAGAGAATCATACAACTCGAGTCAAATGCCATGATCTTGTTGTGAGTGTCGTCATCATATGCTTGCTAGAAATTGATTATCTATTGTTGTTTATGGATTGATTGATTGGTTAGAGGTGGATAGTGAGTCCTAGCTATTGTTCTTGATTGATTATAAACCAATTTCTCTTAAACTCTAATTTAAATTCTGTTTTGTTTTGTTTTCCTTATTTTGTTTTATTCACAAATCAAATCAAAACCCCCCCTTGGTGTTGGCGTGTGTGTGGAAGTCCTTGTGTTTTCGTTGCGTGACATTGATAAACATCTCTCTAGATTACAATCTCTGTGGGAATGACCCTTGCTTGCTTACTATACTATCATTTGATTTGTGCACTTGCAAGGTTTAAATATTGTTGTTAAAAATTACCAACAGTTTTAAAAGAAAAATGACAAGTTTGTATGTCAGCATACCTACCATTTAGTACTTAATCTTGAGGTTACAAAAGTTTGCCAATCCGATAACTCAATGAAGTCATACAAGTCAGGAGGCTGCCTCAATGCTTGTTGGTCATTCTATATGGTAGTATGTGGTACCTTGTTAAGTTAGACTTGAAATGCCTCCACTTGTTACAAGCTGATTGCAATATCCCCGTTTTGCTTTCGGGTGGCAATTCAATACTGTCTGCATAAAATAAATAAAGATGTTCAGTTTAGGCAAATTACAATAGAAAACTAAAAAAAACCTATAAAAGCATCAACTAATTAGTATTACCGTAATTTATGTCCACACTTTCTCTTTCAACTGGTCATCCACATCACTCCAAGCATTGATGGTAATGGGGATAAAGGTTCGAGCTACTACACCTGTGTATGAAGCCAATGTTTACCCACTTGACCACTTGCTTCTCCTTTGGAGTTAAACAGAACTTTTATCATTTTCCCTTTACGTTTCTTTATTTGAATTTGATTCATTTATGTTGGACCACGCTTCCTTTTACCTTCACTATTTGATGTACTAGTTGTTTGTGATGTACTCCCTTCATTGATTCAGCCATATCTGCATAAAGGAAGAACATTAGAATATGCATATAACAAAATAATTATGTAAATTGACAATACACACAAAAGATAATACACATAATAGAGTTAATGAAATTCTCACATAAAAAACCAACATCTATGCTTGTTTTTTCCTATTAGTGACCCGTATCTCCTCGCAATCTGTTCGCATATACTTTGCCTCACCCTCACCAATATCATATTTAAATTCTTCTACTGCTGGCAGTCCATTAGTAAAAGATTGGTGCTCAAGTACGGCATCCTCTAACTCATCACCATGAATATAAACTCTATTCGGCATTGGAAGTACAATTAACCAACCATCAGTTTCAGGGTCATCAACGTAAAATACTTGCCTCACTTGAGTGGCCATAACAAATTCATCCTTTCGATAACCTCTCCGATTAAGGTTCACCATAGTCAACCCACTATCCTCGGCATATTTGACACCTTTCTCATTCTCTACCCATGCACACTTAAACAAAGGAACTTGAAATTGATTATAATTAAGCTCCCATATCTCTTCGATAACCCCATAGAATATCATGTTTGAAACAACTAGATTTTTATCCTTTGCACTTGAAATTTGCATAGTACTTGCCACCAAGCAAACCCCACTATTTTGGATAGCACGTTCATTGTCACATGCCTTAGTGTGGTAACGGTACCCATCTATGGCATAACCGTTATATTTCAAAACTCCCTTACGTGGTCCATGAGCTAGCCACTTAACAATGTTTGTCACTCCATTCAAATTCATAGTTAATTGACCACCAACCTGAAATTATAAAAGATAATTAAAATCTGTTTGAGGTACCAATCCCTCGTCACTTTAGTAAAATGAACAATACTAACCCGGTTATGAAACCAGTCAATAAACCTTTGGTTATCCATTTTTCGTCTTTTGCTTTCCTTGGATTACTCTCCTTCAATGGTCTTTATGTTCACTGTAAAATTACAGTGCACATAGAAGCATCTAATGTTAAAGTTTGACTTATCCATAAAATAAACCTAAGAAAACAGAATAATTGGATTAGGATAACTTACTTAATGTAAGGATCAACTTCAGCTGTATTATCCAAGACAGTTCGATGTGCTTGGTCCAATTTTTCGTGGGGCACAGATTCTATAGATGGACATGAAGCGTGGTGTAGGAACCCCAATTGCACTTAAATCAGCCATGAACTCTGAGCAAAACTCCACAGATTCTTCCACAAGAATGCGTTCAACGATACAACCTTCTGGATACACATGACTGTGTACATAACCCTTTAATACCTTCATGTACCTTTCAAAAGGGTACATCCATCTATAGAAAACTGGTCCACACAAACGAACCTCTCTAATAAGATGCCCCGTTAGATGGACCATAACATCAAAGAACGATGGAGGAAAGAATTGTTCTAGCAAGCACAATGTAGCCACAAGATCCGATTGTATCTTATCTAACTACGTACATCCACCACTTTCTAACATAAATCATTGAAGAAGAAGCAAAAACCTCGTTATTGCATATCTAACATGCTTGGGCAGCACACCACATATTACAACCGGTAGCAATTGTTGCATCAATACATGGCAATCATGTGACTTAAGACCAACTAGTTTCAACTCTTTCATGCATACAAGGTTTCTTAGGTTCGAAGAGTGACCTTCAGGAACTTTTACACTCATCAATGCCTTGCACATGGATATTTTCTCCTTTTTATTCAATGTACACATTGCTGGAGGCAAAAAAGTTCTCTTCTCGCCAACTTGTGGTGCCAAACTAGTTCTTACCCCCAATTTAACGAGATATTTACGCTGCCACCCCATCTTTTGTTTTTCCGAGAATGTTCAACAATGTACCAAAAATACTCTCGCATACATTCTTCTCGATGTGCATAACATTGAGGCAATGTCGAACATACAACGATTTCCAATAAGGAAGGTCAAAGAAAATTGATCTCTTCTTATAACACTTAGTACAACCATCATCTTTCCGCTTCCCAATTCTCTTCCCCCACTCATAGTTTATGGCCTCAACTTCTTTCCATACTTGTTCCCTGGTTAAAGGTTTTGGTGTCGGGTCAAGTTCTTCCTTACCATTAAAATCTTCACTTAATTTCTATAAGCATGATAACGAGATAAGAATCTTCGGTGTCCGGTGAATGCCATTTTATTTCCATGTTCCAACCTTTCCGCATATGTCTTCTCACCGCAAATTGGACATGCATAATATCCTTTCGTAGTGCACCCGGACAGATTACCATAAGCTGGAAAATCATTGATTGTCCACAAAAGTACAGATCTTAAGGTGAAGGACTGTTGTCGGAAAACATCATAGACTCCCTCCACTCCATCCCACAATGTTCTTAACTCCTCAACCGATGGTTCCAAGTACACATCTATATCATTGCCAGGTTGTCTAGGGCCAAAAATTAATAACGTTAAAATCATAAACTTCCTCTTCATGCACAGCTCCAGAGGAAGGTTATATGTGACCAAAATTACTGGCCAACAACTATATCTACTACTAAGAGAACTGTGTGGGTTTATCCCATCTGATGAAAGGGCTAACCTAAGGTTTCTAGGCTCACTTGCAAAATCTGGCCACATATGATCTACCATCTTCCACAATGGTGAATCAGCTGGATGACGCAATCGACCATCTTTTATTCGACTTTCATCATGCCAAGTTAAACTTTTAGAAGTTTCAAATGACTTAAACATTCTTTTGAACCTTGGGATAGCAGGAAAGTACCATAAAACCTTCTTCGGGACCCCTTTCTTCTCCACATTCTTCTTTGTCACCTTCTATCGTGAGAGGCTACATCTAGGGCAGGTTGTCAAATCGTGATACTTATTACTATATAAAATGCAATCATTATAGCATGCATGTATCTTCTCATACTTCAATCCCAAGGCATTCAATGTCTTCTTTGCCTCATACATACATGATGATAGCTCTTGACCAATTGGAAGCAAATCTCCAACTTCAATAAGCATATCGGAGAAACAATTGTCCGTCATGCCATGCCTTGTTTTAAGATTGTACAACTTAACCAATCCCGACAACTTGGTGTGCTTATGACACCCAGGATAAGGAGGTTTTCTGCTTCTTCCACAAACTTCCCAAATTTGCTCAGGTTTTCAGTAAAGTGTTCATGTGCACCTTCGCACATATCAATTGTCTCATCCACTACATCACGTTCAAGATATGGTTCTTGATTTACACTTTCACTTCCATTTGATTCAGTAGGTTGGCATATCCAATCCTTATAGGTTTGGTCAACCCCATTGAAATACAAATGCTCCCTTATCTCTGGCATTGAAATACAAACGCTCCCTTATTGAAATACAAATGCTCTAATAGTAAACTTTCTTGTATTCCCACATCTCTAGCATGGACAATGAATGCGCCTATGATCAATAACATTTGCTAACGCTATCCTTAGAAATTCTTCAACCCCATCTTCATACTCTTTGCTTCTTCTATCTTCATGCATCCAAGATTTATCTATTTCCCTTTAACTAGTCCATTTCATAAACACAAAAAATATTATAAACAACTTGCGTTCACATTTCAAATAATGAGGAAAGCTGCCTATTATATGAGAGCATCTCAAGTTGCTTGAGATAGGAGTAGGAAGGTATACTCGGTCATTTCTTTAATACTGCAAATAAAAAACAAATATGGCCAAACAATATATAAATTGAACCCTAACTAAATGAGTGTTTTAATGATGCATATCCAGTTTAAGCATGGCATGAAAAAGTGCAAGAACTTTTAAATTTTGATGAAATACAAGTGTACTTACAGCAATCAAAAGATCAGCAGTTGCAGAAACAGATCTGATCCCTCTTTGACAACCCTGCAAATTAAGGCAAATACAAATTAACATATTATTTACAAAGTAAACATAGAAATTAAAGCAACTTGGACTAGAAAACTCTACAGTATTATTTACAAAGTAAACACAGAAATTGAAACTTAGTAAAAATAAAAATAAAAATCTAATCTACTAATAGAAGTTACAGCCACCTTCAGGCGTATTAAACATGTAAGGAATGTTTAACAACCCACCTTAAATTTGCAACTTCCAACAAACTACCCAAACTAATAAATGTTCTATCTTAGATAAAAGAACAATTCAAAACCTAAACTGAGAAATTATACTTAGAAAATATCAAAACCACTTGTCAAACTAATTACATAACAAACTAAACACATGGACTCTGAAACTGATGGTGGCAATTTGTGATGTCAATTAAGTTCCCATTGCATAGTCAATGAGCTTTGCAATGGTTCACTTGTCTTTCTCATATGAGAGTTGTAGGAATTTTGTTTGATGAATTACATAAATGGTCAATACCAAGCCAAGCTCTACGTATTTTACTAACTTGACGAATGTGAAAAAAAATCCAATTATGTTTATAGTTTAGACTGAAAGCAAACACCTATCAAAAACTAAAATTCCCAAAACTCAATTCTACATGAAAATACAAAAGCCACGAAATCAATGTATCAAATAAGCCAAGCCACCGAATCAGATTAAACCATCAGGCAGGTTCCAAGATAATCAATCACAAATTTAGCAACATAACACAACAAAAAGCTATAAAAATAATATATAAAATAATTGATCTAGCGCTGATTACTAAAATTTGAAGCTTTTCCTAGTATTGAGAGAGAATGTTTAACCTTAAATTTTAGTTGTGAAGAGAGAAGAAAAGCTTACTAGAAGAGGAGGGGTAGGGTGTGGTCAAAACCCTAACTTTTGGGGGAAAGGGAAATGTGCTTCGAACTGATAGATGAAATCACACAATTGTCAACTTAAACTTCTGTCTGAGTGTCTGGGCTTGAGAAATTGCTTGAGCTGGCTTGAGAATCGTCGAATGGAAGAATGATTCTCACTGTGAATCGTAATGGTTGAGCATATGAGGGTTTTAGCAAGAATGGGGCAATGATGGAGGAGAGAGAAGAAAGAGAGTTTTGTTTAGGAGATGAATTTTTAGGGTAGAGTTTCAAAGTGAGTGAAAAAATTGAGGGGAATTAGAAGAATTGGGGCTAGGGTTTGAGAGGGAGTTTAAGTTTCAGAGAGAGTTTGCGAGGGAGAGTAAAAATTTTGGGTTAGGGCATTAACTCAGACTTTAGGCATCAGAGATATATTACCAAAAAATGACCCTCTTAAAAATAAAATAAAAACTAATCACTTTAGGCATCTATATTTATGTAGAAGATGCTAAAGGGGAATAAAGGCATCGTCATAAATAAAGAAATATGCGCTGATGTATTTATACCTGTTTAGTATCGTTATTTACCAAATTGATGACTAATCTGCTAATAGCATCGATTTCCCTCTCTACCGATGCCTATCTAGTGTTGCTGTAAGTGAAATTTGACACAGTGCCTCCCACCACATTAAGATGTTCCCCAAGTTTTGGGCTCAATCCGCTATTGATTGGTCTAAGAAATCAGAAAATTCATTGGTTGGTGTATTGCATACTTTTAGCAATTGGATTTCTCACAAAACTCACCAAATGGCACCTCCCACCATAATATGATGTTGCACAACTTTTCGGCTCAATAAGATATCGTTTGGTCCAAGAAATTGGACAATTCAGGTTCGTAGGAAGTTCGTTCTATAATGGAGTGGTTGGTGTGTTGCATAGTTTTACAGATTGGATTTCACTCAAAGCTCACCAAATGACTCCTTTCGCCATATTATGACGTTGCCCAAGTTTTGGGCCCAATCCGATATCGATTGGTGCAAGAAATTAGACAATTTAGGTTCGTACGATTTTCTTTCTATAATGGAGTGGTTGGTGTATTGCGTAGTTTTAGCAATTAGATTTCACTAAAAACTCATCAAATGACTCCTCCCACCATATTATGATGTTCCTCAAGTTTTGGGCTCAATCTGATATCGATTGGTCCAAGAAATTGGACAATTTAGGTTAGCACAAGTTTAATCTAAAATATAGTGGTTGGTGTATTGCATTCCATTAGAGTTTGGATTTCACTTGAAACTCCGGAATTGAATCCTCCCACCATATTATGATGTTGCCCAAGTTTTCGGCTCAATCCGATGTCAATTGGTCCAAGAAATTGGACAATTCGAGTTCGTAACTTCGTTCTAAAATAGAGTGGTTGGTGTATTATAGTTTTAGAATTTGATTTCACTCAAAACTCACCAAATGAATCCTCCCACCATATTATGATGTTCCCCAAGTTTTTGGGCATGATCCGATATCAATTAGTCTAAGAAATTGGAAAATTCAGGTTCCTACGAAGTTTGTTTTGTAATGGAGTAGTTGGTGTGTAGGTTTTAGGGATTGGATTTCACTCAAACTCACCAAATGACTCCCCCGACCGTATTAGGATGCTCCCCAAGTTTTCGGCTCAATCCGATATCGATTGGTCCAAGAATTTGGACAATTTAGGTTAGTACGAAGTTTAATCTAAAATATAATGGTTGGTGTATTGCATACCATTAGAGTTTGGATTTCACTTGAAACTCAGGAAATGAATCCTCCCACCATATTATGATGTTGCCCAAGTTTTCGGCTCAATCCTGATGTCAATTGGTCCAAGAAATTGGACAATTCGAGTTCGTAACTTCGTTCTAAAATAGAGTAGTTGGTGTATTATAGTTTTAGAATTGGATTTCACTCAAAACTCACCAAATGAATTCTCCCACCATATTATGATGTTCCCCAAGTTTTGGGCATGATCCAATATCGATTAGTCTAAGAAATTGGAAAATTTAGGTTCCTACGAAGTTTGTTTTGTAATGGAGTAGTTAGTGTGTAGGTTTTAGGGATTGGATTTCACTCAAACTCACCAAATGACTCCTCCGACCGTATTAGGATGCTCCCCAAGTTTTCGGCTCAATCCGATATCGATTGGTCCAAAAAATTGGACAATTTAGGTTAGCACGAAGTTTAATCTAAAATAGAGTGGTTGGTGTATTGCATACCATTAGAGTTTGGATTTCACTTGAAACTCAGGAAATGAATCCTCCCACCATATTATGATGTCGCCCAAGTTTTCGGCTCAATCCTGATGTCAATTGGTCCAAGAAATTGGACAATTCGAGTTCGTAACTTCGTTCTAAAATAGAGTGGCTGGTGTATTATAGTTTTAGAATTGGATTTCACACAAAACTCACCAAATGAATCCTCCCACCATATTATGATGTTCCCAAGTTTTGGGCATGATCCGATATCGATTAGTCTAAGAAATTGGAAAATTCAGGTTCCTACGAAGTTTGTTTTGTAATGGAGTAGTTGGTGTGTAGGTTTTAGGGATTGATTTCACTCAAACTCACCAAATGACTCCTCCGACCGTATTAGGATGCTCCCCAAGTTTTCGGCTCAATCCGATATCGATTGGTCCAAGAAATTGGATAATTCAGATTCGTACGAAGTTTGTTATGTACTAGACTGGTTGGTGTATTTGCATAGTTTTATATATTAGATTTCACTCAAAACTCACCAAATGACTCCTCCAACCGTATTATGATGTTCCCCAAGTTTTCGGCTCAATCCGATATCGATTGGTCCAAGAAATTGGACAATTCAAGTTCGTATGAAGTTTGTTCTACAATAGAGTGGTTGATGTGTTGCATAGTTTTAGGGATTGGATTTCACTCAGAACACACCAAATGACTCCTCCGACCATATTATGATGGTTTTTGGCTCAATCCGATATCGATTGGTCCAACGAATTGGACAATTCAGGTTCGTACGAAGTTTATTATGTACTAGAGTGGTTGGTGTATTGCATAGTTTTATATATTGGATTTCTCTCAAAACTCACCAAATGACTTCTCCGACCATATTATGATGTTCCCCAAGTTTTCGGCTCAATCCAATATCGATTGGTCCAAGAAATTGGACAATTCAGGTTCATATGAAGTTCGTTCCACAATGGAGTGATTGGTGTGTTGCGTAGTTTTAGGGATTCGATTTCACTCAGAACACACCAAATGACTCCTCCGACTGTATTATGATGGTTTTCGGCTCAATCCGATATCGATTGGTCCAACAAATTCGACAATTCAGGTTTGTACGAAGTTCGTTATGTAATAGAGTGGTCGGTGTATTTGCGTAGTTTTAGGTATTGGATTTCACTGAAACTCACCAAATGACTCCTCTGACCGTATTATGATGTTCCCCAAGTTTTTGGCTCAATCCGATATTGATTGGTCCAAGAAATTGGACAATTCAGGTTCTTACGAAGTTCGTTATAAAATGGATTGGTTGGTGTGTTGCGTAGTTTTAGGGTTGGATTTCACTGAAAACTCACCAAATGACTCCTCCGACCGTATTATGATGTTCCCCAAGTTTTCGGCTCAATCTGATATTGATTGGTCCATGAAATTGGACAATTCAAGTTCCTACGAAGTTTGTTTTGTAATGGAGTGGTTGGCGTTTTGCATGGTTTTAGGGACTGGATTTCACTCAAACTCACTAAATGACTCCTCATACCGTATTATGATGTTCCCCTAATTTTCGGTTCAATTCGATATCGATTGGTCCAAGAAATTGGACAATTCAGGTTCGTACGATGTTTGTTACGCAATAGAGTGGTTGGTGTATTTGCATAGTTTATATATTGGATTTCACTCAAAACTCACCAAATGACTCCTCCAACCGTATTATGATGTTCCCCAAGTTTTCGGCTCAATCCGATATCGATTGGTCCAAGAAATTAGACAATTCAGGTTCATACGAAGTTCGTTCTAAAATGTAGTGGTTGGTATGTTACGTAATTTTATTGATTGGATTTCACTCAGAACACACCAAATTACTACTCCGACTGTATTGTGATGTTCCCCAAGTTTTCAGCTCAATCCGATATCAATTGGTCCAAGAAATTGGACAATTCAGGTTCGTACGAAGTTCGTTATGTAATAGAGTGGTTGGTGTATTTGCGTAGTTTTATGTTTTGGATTTCACCCAAAACTCACCGAATGACTTCTCCCGACCGTATTATGATGTTCCCCAAGTTTTTGGCTCAATCCGATATCGATTAGTCTAAGAAATTGGACAATTTAGGTTTGTACGCAGTTCTTTCTAAAATGGAGTGGTTGATGTGTTGCATAGGTTTCGGGATTGGATTTCACTCAAACTCACCGAATGACTCCTCCGACTGTATTATGATGTTCCCCAAGTTTTGGCTCAATCAGATATCGATTGGTCCATGAAATTGCACAATTCAGGTTTGTACGAAGTTCGTTCTAAAATGAAGTGGTTGGTGTGTTGCGTAGTTTTAGGGATTGGATTTCACTCAGAACACACCAAATGACTCGTCTGACTGTATAATGATTTTCCCCAAGTTTTGGACTCAATCCGATACCGATTGGTCCATTAAATTGGACAATTCAGGTTCCTACGAAGTTCGTTCAGTAATGGAGTGGTTGGGGTATTTTCATAGTTTTATATATTGGATTTCACTTAAAACTCACCAAATGACTCCTCCAACTGTATTATGGTGCTCCCCAAGTTTTCACCTCAATCCGATATCGATTGGTCCAACAAATTAGACAATTCAGGTTCGTACGAAGTTCGTTCTAAAATGGAGTGGTTGGTGTGTTACGTTGTTTTAGGGATTGGATTTCACCCAGAAAAAACCAGAAGACTCCTCCGATTGTATTATGACGTTCCATGAGTTTTCGGCTCAATCCAATATCAATTGGTCCAAGAAACTGGACAATTTAGGTTCGTACGAAGTTGGTTCTAAAAATGTGTGGTTGGTGTATTGCGTAGTTTTAGAGGTTGGATTTCACTCAAAACATAACAAATCAGTCCTCCCACCATATTATGACGTTGCCCAAGTTTTGGGCTTAATCTGACGTCAATGGGCCCAAGAAATTGGACAATTCAAGTTCGTACGAAGTTCGTTCTAAAATGGAGTGGTTGGTACGTTACGTAGTTTTAGGGATTGGATTTCACTCAGAACACACCAAATGACTCCTCCTACCATATTATGATGTTATCCAAGTTTTGGGCTCCATCCGATATCGATTGGTACAAGAAATTGGACAATTCATGTTTGTTCGAAGTTCGTTCTCTAATGGAGTGGTTGGTATATTGCATAGTTTTAGCAATTGGATTTCACTCAAAACACACCAAATGACTCCTCCCACAACATTATGATGTTCCCCAAGTTTTGGACTCAATGCGATATCGATTGGTCCATTAAATTGGACAATTCAGGTTTATATGAGGTTCGTTCTGAAATGTAGTGGTTGGTGTATTGCATAGTTCTAAAGATTGGATTTCCCTCAAAACCCACCAAATGACTCCTCACAGAACATTATGATATTTCCCAAGTTTTGGATTCAATCCGATATCTATTGGTCCCGGAAATTGGACAATTCAGGTTCATACGAAGTTCGCTATGAAATGGACTGGTTAGTGTATTGCATAGTTTTAGCCCCTAGATTTCATTCAAAACTCAACAAATGACTCTTCCCACCGTATTATGTTGTTCCCCAAGTTTTGGGCTCAATCCGATGTTGATTGCTCTATGAAATTGGACAATTCTGGTTCGTAAAAACTTCATTATGAAATGGAGTGTGTTGATGCCTAAAATTGGTTCCACAGAAGATGACCTCTTTGAGATCGATGTCGGGCAATTCTTCCAGACGAGGCCAGCGTGACCAACCAAGTTGTCCTCCTGAACCCGTAAAACAAGATAGCCTTAGTGGGTGACACTGGTGTGGTGCCAGCCAAGGACCCTCCGATGCTTAAGTCAGTCGAGTGTTTGAGAGTAAAATTGAACCATAGGTTCTAGTGCTTAGAGTTGCATACCTTTTACGGAGGATGGCTTTAGCCTTTTATATCATCCCAGACGACCTAATCTTTCTTGGAGTGGGACTCTAGAGCAAACCAGCTCTCCTAGAACTAGGACTCCAGAACAACCTAATCCTTCTCGGACTAAGACTCCATTTAGATTGGTGTCTTGGTGACCCCGAAACATCCCAACTTCTTTGGGATTACAAGTCCTTTGAGTGAACACCACGTAAATCAAACTCATGTGCACCGAGACTGAGCTCAAATGGTCCCACAAGTCCACACGGGTCAAGTTGGAAAAATATATGGTTAACAGGATCGAGCCTAGGTCGACCACTAACACCGTGGTCTAGCCCAGCTCGACCAATAACACTGTGGTCTGGCCCAGCTCGACCACTAACACCGTGGTCTGGCCCAGCTCAACCAATAACACTGTGGTCTGCCCAGCTTGACCAATAACACCGCGGTCTGGGCGAACTCGACCAATACCACCGTGGTGTAGCCTAGCTCGACCTAGAGGTATTTTACCTCACAAACAGAAGTCCCCCAAGTCCCCAGACAAGAGAGTTTTGTGTGGGGAGTTGTATTTTAATAATTTGGGCAAGCTGATGTGTAGATCGAGTAGTGGTATAGATGCCACATATCATGATGGTATTAGCGAAGAAAGCTTACTTGAGGTCGACGAGTCTCCAGGTTGGAACTTTGCCAACCTAAGGCTAAGCTTGGTGTATCGTGAGGTCAGATCTCCTCGAACATGAGGCTTAGTATGGCAATTTAGGATTGGTTTTCTTGCCAATCTGACCATGAGCTTGTCATGGCGAGGTGGGTTCTTCGCCAACCTGACCATAGCTTGGTGAACTAAGGTTGGCTCTTTTGCTAACCTGGCCACGAGCTCAAAAAAGGTTGAGCTCGAAGCTCTCTTCCATCAAAGCTTGATAAAAATATAGCTCGGACCTTTCGTCCATTGAGCTTGGCTAAAATTGAGCTTAGACCTTTCGTCTATATGAGCTCGATAGAAAATATAGCTCGGACCTTTCGTCCATTGAGCTTGGCTAAAATTGAGCTTAGACCTTTCATCTATATGAGCTTGATAGAAAATATAGCTCAGACCTTTCGTCCATTGAGCTTGGCTAAAATTGAGCTTAGACCTTTCATCTATATGAGCTCGATAGATATATAGCTCGAACCTTTCGTCCACGCGAGCTTGATAAAAATTGCAGCTCGGACCTTTCGTCCATCTGAGCTTGGTGAAAACTGATCATAGACCTTTTGTCTATATGAGCTCAATAGAGATATAGCTCGGACCTTTCGTCCACATAAGCTTGATAAAAAATATAGCTCGGACCTTTTGTCCATCTGAGCTTGGTGAAAACTGAGCTTAGACCTTTCGTCTATATGAGCTTAATAGAAATATAGCTCAGACCTTACGTCCACATAAGCTTGATAATAAATATAGCTCCGACCTTTCGTCCATCTGAGCTTGGCGAAAACTGAGCGTAGACCTTTCGTCTATATGAGCTCGATAGAAATATAGCTCGGACCTTTCGTCCACAAGAGCTTGATAAAAAATATAGCTCAGACCTTTCGTCCATCTGAGCTTGGCAAATCTATGGAGCTGGATTCCTTCCTGACTTGAATGTGGTGCTTTGAGTTCCCTTGTTAAGGCTTGGAGAGACAATACATTGGAAAAGATATCCAAATTTTGTTCACTACCGAAAAGTTGAAAACATACCAAGATCGAGCTTGAACGCTGGCTGACTAAGTTGAAAAACTTAAAAAAAACCTCATGAACCCTCGTAACAGGATAGTTCCCATGAGCCACACCGAATGAAAAGAAATATAATGAAAAATCTAAACCTCAAACTGATGATTTAACTCATATAGCATGTAGATGATGATGAAGTCACTGGTAATACTTCATTGTGGCTGGACTTCTGACTCATGGTGTCAAGCAAGTGGTTGTTGTTTAAAAACTTATTTGGAAATCAACAACATGTCGATTCCCACAGACGGCGCCAAACTTTTGATGCCTAAAATTGGTTCAACAGAAGATGACCTCTTCGAGATCAAGGTCAGGCAATTCTTCCAGACTAGGTGGCGCAACCAACCAAGTCGTCCTCCAGAACTTGTAAAACAAGATAGCCTCAGTGGGTGACACCGGTGTGGTGCCGGCCAAGGACCCTCTAATGCTTAAGTCAGTCGAGTGTTTGAGAGTAAAATTGCACAATAGGTTCTACTACTTAGAATTGCATACCTTTTACGGAGGATGGCTGTAGCCTTTTATATCATCCTAGACGACCTAATTCTTCTCGGAGTGGGACTCTAGAGCAAACCAGCTTTCCTCGAACTAGGACTCCAGAACAACCTAATCCTTCTCGGACTAAGACTCCATTTAGATTGGCATCTTGGTGACCCCAAAACATCCCAACTTCTTTGGGATTAGAAGTCCTTTGAGTGAACACCACGTAAATCAAACTCATGTGCACCAAGACTAAGCTCAAATGGGCCCACAAGTCCACACGGGTCAAGGTGGAAAAATATATGGTTACCAGGCTCGAGCCCAGGTCGACCACTAACACCGTGGTCTGGCCCAGCTCCACCAATAACACCCTGGTCTAGCCCAGCTTGACCAATAACACCGCAGTCCGGGCCTACTCGACCAATAACACCGTGGTGCAGCCTAGCTCGGCCTAGAGGTATTTTACCTCACAAACAGAGTGGTTGGTGTATTGCATAGTTTTAGCCATTGGATTTGACAAAAAAACTCATGAAATGACTCCTCCCACAACATTATGATGTTCCCCAAGTTTTGGGCCCAATCCGATATCGATTGGTCCAAGAAGTTGGACTATTCATGTTCGTACGAAGTTCGTTCTCTAATGGAGTGGTTGGTGTATTACATAGTTTCAGCAATTGGATTTCACTCAAAACACTCCAAATGACTACTCCCACAACATTATGATGTTCCCCAAGTTTTGGACTCAATCCGATATCGATTGGTCCATGAAATTGGACAATTCAGGTTCATACGAAGTTCGTTACTGAAATGGAGAGGTTGGTGTATTGCATAGTTTTAGGGTTTGGATTTTACTCAAAACCCACCAAATGACTTCTCCCACCATATTATGATGTTCCCCAAGTTTTGGACTCAATCCGATAACGATTGGTCCATGAAATCGGACAATTCAGGTTCGCATGAAGTTCGTTATGAAATGGAGTGGTGTGGTAGTATTGCCATAGTTTTAACTCAAAACTCACCAAATGACTCCCCCCACCATTTTATATTGTTCCCCAAGTTTTGGGCTCAATCCCGATATCGATTGGTCCAAGAAATTGGACAATTCAGGTTCGTACGAAGTTCGTTCTCTAATGGAGTAGTTGGTGTATTGCATAGTTTTAGCCATTGGTTTTTACTCAAAACCACCAAATGACTCCTCCCACAACATTATGATGTTTCCCCAAGTTTTGGACTCAATCTGATATCGATTGGTCCACAAAATTGGACTATTCAGGTTCGTACGAAGTTTGTTCTGAAATGGAGTGGTTTGTGTATTGCATAGTTTTAGAGATTGGATTTCACTCAAAAACCCACCAAATGACTCCTACCACCATATTATAATGTTCCCCAAGTTTTGGAATCAATTTGATACCGATTGGTCCACGAAATCAGATAATTCAAGTTCGCACGAAGTTCGTTCTGAATAGAGTGGTTGGTGTATTGCGTAGTTTTAACAATTCGATTTCACTCAAAACCACCAAAGGACTCCTCCCACAACATTATGTTGTTCCCCAAGTTTTGGACTCAATCCGATATCGATTGGTAAAAGAAATTGGACAATTCAGGTTCGTATGAAGTTCGTTCTCAAATGGAGTGGTTGGTGTATTGCATAATTTTAGCCATTGGATTTCCCTCAAAACCACAAAATGACTTCTCCCACCATATTATGTTGTTCCCCAAGTTTTGGGCTCCATATGATATCGATTGGTCCAACAAATTGGACTATTCAGGTTCGTACGAAGTTCGTTCTCTAATAGAGTGGTTGGTGTATTTCATAGTTTTAGCAATTGGATTTCACTCAAAACACCAAATCACTCCTCCCACCATATTATGATGTTCCCCAAGTTTTGGACTCAATCCAATATCAATTGGTCTATGAAATCGGACAATTCAAGTTCGTACGAAGTTCGTTCTTAAATGGAGTGGTTGGTTTATTTCATAGTTTTAGCCATTGCATTTCACTCAAAACCACCAAATGACTCCTCCCACAACATTATGATGTTCCCCAAGTTTTGGACTCAGTCCGATATCGATTGGTCCCAGAAATTGGAGTATTCATGTTCGTACGAAGTTCCTTCTCTAATGGAGTGGTTGGTGTATTGCCGAGTTTTAGAGGTTGGATTTCACTCAAAACTCAGTAAGAAACTCCTCCCACTATATTTTTAAGTTCCCCAATCTGATATCGATTGGTGCCAGAAATTGGACAATTCAGGTTCGTATGAAGTTCGTTCAGAAATAGAGAGGTTGGTGTATTGCATTGTTCTTGAGCTTGGATTTCACTCAAAACCACCCAAATGACTCCTCCCTCCATATTATGTTGTTCCCCAACTTTTGGTCTCAATTCGGTATTGATTGGTCCCGAAAATTGGACTATTCACGTTCGTATGAAGCTCGTTCTCTAATGCAGTGGTTGGTGTATTGCATAGTTTTGGCATTTGGATTTCACTCAAAACTCACCAAATAACTCCTCCCACAACGTTATGATGTTTCCCAAGTTTTAGACTCAATCTGATATCGATTGGTCCACGAAATTGGACAATTTAGGTTCGTACGAAGTTCGTTCTGAAATGGAGTGGTTGGTGTATTGTATGGTTCTACATATTGGATTTCACTCAAAACTCACCAAATGACTCCTCCCACAACATTATGGTGTTCCTCATGTTTTGGACTCAATCTAATATTGATTAGTCCAAGAAATTTTTCAGATTCGTACGAAGTTCATTCTGAAATGGAAAGGCTGGTGTATTGCATAGTAGCCATTGGATTTCACTCAAAACACACCAAATGACTCCTCCCACCATATTATGATGTTCCCCAAGTTTTGGGCTCAATCCGATATCGATTGGTCCCTGAAATTGGAAAATTCATGTTCGTACGAAGTTCGCTCTGAAATGGAGTGGTTGGTGTATTGCATAGTTTTATCCATTGGATTTCACTCAAAACACACCAAATGACTCCTCCCACCATATTATAATGTTCCCCAAGTTTTGGGCTCAATCCGATATCGATTGGTCCAAGAAATTGGAAAATTCAGGTTCGTACGAAGTTCGCTCTGAAATGGAGTGGTTGGTGTATTGCATAGTTTTATCCATTGGATTTCACTCAAAACACACCAAATGACTCCTCCCACCATATTATGATGTTCCCCAAGTTTTGGACTCAATCCGATATCGATTGGTCCGTGAAATTGGACGATTCAGTTTCGTACGAAATTTCGTTCTGAAATGGAGTGTTTGGTATGTTGCATAGTTTTATCCATTGGATTTCACTCAAAACACACCAAATGACTCCTCCCACCTATATTATGATGTTCCCCAAGTTTTTGGACTCAATCCGATATCGATTGGTCCGTGAAATTGGACGATTCAGGTTCGTACGAAGTTCGCTCTAAAATGGAGTGGTTGGTGTATTGCATAGTTTTATCCATTGGATTTCACTCAAAACACAAATGACTCCTCCCACAAAATTATGATGTTCCCCAAGTTTTGGACTCAATCCGATATCGATTGGTCCATGAAATTGGACCGACAATTCAGGTTCGTACGAAGTTCGTTCTGAAATGGAGTGGT